GGGATCCACTCCCTGGTTGGTCTGGGGCTTCTTCCGTCTTCATCACTGGTTGGCTGCAGTCATGGTGGGAAATTTAATTAATTGTCATTGGATTATTTTGAAGATCTGTGTTCATTTATTCATCCAGAAAAGGGGCAAGATTGGAAAGGAATGCAGCTGATCAAGTTAATGGATCTTGATATCCTAGTTCCAGGCTTGAATAATGGGTGCTGACTGGACAGACAAAAAAGTGTTCAGGGTGTTGGCAGAAGGGGGTCTGGCACAATACTATTAGATGAGGAAACATTTCCAGGGGAAAAAAATCAGATAATATGATGACAACCCTTGTGGCTCTTCCAAGAGACCAATTATGGGTTCCCTGTGACTTTTCCAGGGTATTATAAAGGGATTAGGCTAAATGTGTGACTATACCCTCAGGTGCAGGGTGTGGGGAAAAGTTAGACAACACTCCAGGGAGATGTTCGTTGAAGGTTAGCTTACAATAAAGGGAGAAATCAGTACGTGCTCACTGTCTGTCCCAATGTAGCCATAGACTTTGGAGTTCATAGTTTTGGCGTCCAATTTATTATAGCAAAACATTACTTTTTAACAGAGCCCCTGAATCTGTGCACTGCTTTGGTCTGTTTTAATTGATAAATTACAAAGCCTAGCCAAAAAAAAAACCAGTTGACTTGTCTTGGTTTTTAGATCTGTTCCAGGGGTTATTTGAGGTGCTGATTCAAAATATTGCATTACATAGACTGCATCAGCTCTAATTCCTTAAATATGCCTATCATGATTCTGTATGGGTGTGAGCAGATGAAAACATAGTAGATAAAGCATATGTTCTGTATCTCAAAAGTTAGCAGTAATAGGGGGAAACTGTGCCATTTGAAATTAGCAGGTCAAAAATACCCAGAAACAGGACTAACATTTGGGTCATTAATTGTAAAAAGAATTGTTACATTCAACAATCCTATGGATTATGAAGAGACACAATCAAAGAGTGAAAGGGAATGTGCTAAGAGGAAGAGTCATCAACCTAACCCTTGTTGGGACCGCCTTCCATCTGGAAATGTATGTCCTTGTTGTGAAAGACCATGTGGATCCTGAATAGGGCTCCTGAGTGACTTACAGACCCATCGTAAAGACTCTACCCTTGGAAGACAATCATGCTCGGCCACCGGTGATAGCATATATGTTGATGATCTTTATAGTTTAGAATGTTTAAATTGCTCCTTGTTGTTTTACATTTCATTTCAATTGTTTTACTTTGCTTTCGTCACAGCAGCCTGAGATCTTGAGATCTGGAGATATCAGTAACATGTAAATAACTACTGCTGAGCAATACATCAGACCCTCCAACCATCTCCGTTTGCGAGAGACCATCTTGACTGATCATCTTTTCCACTTTTAAAAACTGCATTTAAAATAACTTCTTCCTCCTGCTTTTTCTTTTCATCCGAGTTTACTTCAGTGGCTGAAAATTCAGCTTATTGTGCAAAAATAGTTTGCACTGAATTATCTCAACAGCGAAGAAGGGGCGGGATATTGCCCTTTCCTGTAGGATCAGGCAAAAGCACATTGCTTCAGCCACTCCTAGCCTGTGTGGTGTTTATCATTAACTTATGCTGTTATGACCATGCTCTGTTGTTGCTGGGTCACATGTGTGCAGATTTAAAATGTTGGAAGGGATGATCTGGGGAAGTGAGCAGAAATAGCAGAAATGTCAGCTGTTGAGTATGCATAATGTACAGTGGAATCTCTACTTAAGAGCATCCCAACTTAAGAGCATTTTGAGTTAAGAGCTGTTAACTCAAAATTAACAGCTCTTTCAAAATTAACAGGCTTTGCTTTGACATAAGAGCAGCTTTTTGAGTTAAGAACTAGCACCAGAGGGAGCTCTAGCTCTTGAGTACAGGGTTTTAGGGCTTCAAGGGAACAGCGTCCGTGCTTCGTGCCTCATGATCTTCTCTTCTGTTCAAGATTGCTGTCTGCTTTGCTCTTGTCCACTTTGAGGAACTTTGGATTCGTTGATTTTGTGTGCTTTTTATTCCTGGTATGTTTGGCTTCCTGAAGAGAGAGAGGGAGAGACAGCAAGAGAGGAAGGGAGGTTGGAATGAGTACAGTAAGAAGAAAATGATGCTTCTGCCTCTTCACTTGGTGCTCTGTGCTTCCTTGCCACAACGTTGTGCTACTACCATTTTAAAGTTGTTCTTTTTATTGTTTTGTGTGATTGTGCATTTATACATTATTTGTTATTCATAAAGTACACTTTCCTATTTAGAAGCATGTAGCAAAAATGGGCTGTGAGCCTTCGGGGGCTGGAACAGATTAATAACATTTCAATGCATTTCAGTGGGAAATTTAGCTTTGAGATGCAAGCATTTTGAGTTAAGCACATTTTGAGTTAAGAGCTTGGTCACAGAACAAAGTAAACTTTTACATCAAGGTATCACTATGTATGGGGAAAGAGAGCTCTTACCCAACATTTCATTTATAGAAGATGCTGAACTAAGTTAGAAACAGGCCCTCAGAATCCATAGGTAAAATGCTATTAATAACCACTGAATGAACCACTGTTACATTTAAACAACTGTTCTTTTCCTGACTAATCCTGCCTATTATATCACCACACAGAAACATTTTTGTTTGTGCTTTATTTTATGCTGGAGTCATATCACATCTGTTTTCCTTTCATCACTCCGACTGTGGACCAACAAACCTCAGTGCCATTCTGCCAAATCCTCCTATTCAAAAAACAAAACTGAGATGTTTATGTGAAATGAAACATCGCAAAATGACACACAGCCTTATGGCAGTTGATGGTTTATGAATTGGGGAAAGTTAGAATATTTGCTTTCAGCATGGTTCCTTTTGCCCTTATCTATACCGAATGCTCATGCTTTCCATTTCATGGAATCATAAAATTTTAGCGCTGGAGGACACCCTAAAGACATTCCAGTCCAATGCCCTTCCATGCAGGAATGCACTATCAAAGCATTCCCAACAGATGGCCATCCAACTTCTGCTTGAAAACCTCCAGATAAGGAGACTCCACCACACTCCAAGGCAGCATATTCCACTATCAGTCAACTCTTCAGAAGGGTTTTTAAAAACTAATTTTCACTTGGAACTAATTCTTGGAGAGATTTGGGGATCAGAATGTGCTAAAAGCATCATGATCTTATTGCACCATTGCATCAGCATTGTGTAGTCTATTAATCATTAATAATGTGGTTGTATAACTCTCCATTCTGTACCAGAAAAGGAAAGAGGGAGCACAAAATGGAAGGTAGCAAATTGAAAACAGAGTCTAAAAGACAGGTAGAGTGGGAGGCAAGGCACTGTCAGCCAGGGAACAATATTGCAAAGGAGTGGAGACATCTGCTCACTCCTCCTGGTTGGTGTCCTCCTTTATATCCTCCAGGCTGGCACAGCTTACATTGGCAAAGTTCCACCAAATCAATAGGAAGGATGCTATAACTGTGAGAGATGCATTGTACCTTTCTTTCTGTCTCTCATTCTGGGTAGCAGAAGTTATATTTTTTCAGAGCCATCATCATGGCACTGTGAAACTGATGATGAATGAGTAGGAAGGTGTCAGATACTCATAAACATTCCCATCCTCAATGAAAAAAGGTTTATCTTGAAAAGGAGGCCAGCCATGAGATTCTTTACACTTTGAGAAAAAAAATCATTTCTACAAATTTATTGTTGATGTTATTGTTATTTTACTGACACAAAACCACAGTATGTCACAGGAAATGAGATATCTATGCTGGATTTTCATATCACAAAATCACAAGTTGAACACTTCCCAAGCGTCTAGGACTGAGTGGTGTATTTTCGAATGATGCGYGCAGATCCAAGTAAGGTGGCCTTTTKCAGTTGACAGATCGTGATTTTGTCAGTGTTTATTGTTTCCAAATGCTGGCTGAGATCTTTTGGCACGGCACCTAGTGTGCCGATAACCACTGGGACCACTTGTACTGGTTTATGCCAAAGCAGTTCAATTTTGAGGTCCTGATAACGGCTGAGTTTTTCCTGTTGTTTTTCATCAATGCAAATGTCACTTGGTATGGCGACATCAGTAATCCAAGCTTTTTTCTTTTCCACAATCGTGATATCTGGTGTATTGTATTCCAAAACATTGTCAGTCTGGATTCAAAAGTCTCACAGTATTTTGTGTGTTCATTTCCCACTACCTTTGCAGTTTTATGATCCCACCAGTTCTTTACAGCAGGTGGTACTTGTGACATAAGGTCCAATGAATCATTTAGACCACAGAGTTGWACCTCTGTGTGTAGTCTGTCTGTGCGATTTTCTTGCAGCAGCTGAGGATATGATCAATGGTTTCATCAGCTTCCTTGCACAGTCTGCACTTTAGGTCATCTGCTGATTTTTCAGTTCTGGCCTTAACTGCATTTGTTCTGCTTGCGTGCTCCTTGGCTGCAAGGATCAGGCTTTCTGGTTATAGTTGTTGTTGTTTATTTATACCCCGCTTTTTCTCTCCACAAAAGAGACTCAAAGCGGCTTACATTTTAAAAATTCAATGCAAAAATACATATATGTATTTTACAGGAATGCACCTGTTCATGTAAAACGAATATTTTTAATACAAAAATGGAAACATAATAAAAAAATTCAAACATGTAATTATATGGTTGATCATATAGACCAGGAATGGGCAAAATTTGGCCCTCCTGGTGTTTTGGACTTCAATTCCCTCGATTCCTAACAGCTGGTAGGCTGTTAGGAATTGTGGGAGTTGAAGTTCAAAATATCGGGAGGTGCCAAGTTTGCTCATGCCTGATATATACTGTTGGAAGCCACTTTGTGTATCTTGACGTTTCCGAGTTGTTTTCCTGATTTTGAAAGATGACTGTTCTGACCTGATGAGGAAATCACCCTAAATAAACATCCAATGAAATAACTAAATTAAAAAAAAATGATGTTGTTTGTAACTATCATAAATATTATATATTTGTTAATATTCATTTCCTTTCTGGCTCTTTCAGGATCTGGGAATCTCCCCTACTTTTGGCTGCAAAGGAAAACGATGTCACAGCCATCCAAAAACTGCTTGCCAGCCACAGCTGTGATCTACATGAGAGAGGTATTGATCTATCCTTCTCATGGCAGTCATGTTGCTTCCTTGGAGAAGACACAATGAAAATTATAAGGAGGGTGAATTGTATTATTGGACTGAATGCAGGATAGGATAGGACAGGACAGGAAGCCTAAGAGCCGTGTAAGTGTTTCTAATCCAAAACTCGCATTTAGTGTCTCATGTACTAAGAAGACATATTTACTGCCACAGCTTTGTGAACCACATGTGGCCTGCCCCGGATTAACTCACATCAGCCTGCATGCATTGTGTTGGACCCACACGGGCTGATGTGACTCTACTCTGCATTATGTAGCGGTGTAAAAGCACCCTGATTTACTACAGTTAAAGTTGTGCCAAATTGCTACAATTCTGCCGTGTGACTACATTGTTGGATGGAGTTGGTATTCGTGATATAAAGAATATATGCAAATTTTCTTATTCCTGATGAGAAAAAATAGTTTGATGTAATGATAAGCCATAGAAACTATGGTCATCTACTAAGAGATTTTTAGATTCCTCAAGAGAGGGGGAAAGACCAGCAATCCACCTCATTTTTTTATATTTTTGTGTAATCAGTATTATACCTAGTGCAAAAAACCTCTATATTTTTGTGAAATGTTATATTATGTGTAAAACACCTTTTTAATTATTATTATTAATAATAATAATAATAATAATAATAATAATAATAATAATAATAATATCCCAAAATGTGAAGCAATCACACATTAACAGAAACCTTCACCATCTCATCTATCAGAGAGATCATCAGATTTTTTGTGTTCTTATCTATGAGAGAATGAAGCAAGCAAAGATTTTAGTGATGGTTAGAAATACCTTTTAGATAACATGAAATGTGGACAAATGGGGAATTTTTAGCAACTTGTTCTTTGGTTCCAGTTCCATTGTACAGTGAGACCTCCATGTCTCCAGGAATACATTCCTGAACTTACCATGGAAACATGAAATAATAGCAAACCTATTGAAATGAATGGATTCTACCCGAAGTTACCATAGCGTCATTTTGGATCACCTATAAAGTTTTAGAGATCCTCTAAGGTGGCTCAGTGGCAGCATGCCATAGTCCCACTTGGAGGACCTAGAATATTTCTAAATAGGACCTATTTTGTTACATGAGAGTAGGTGAAACCACAGGTAACTGCCCCACAGGTACAAGGGTCATACTGTGGTGCTCTCAAAGGCTCTGTGAGGACTTTCACTGGATCAGCAAAATAATACTTGGCCTCTTTTTTGTACCTGGTGCTCTCTCTAGGTGCTGTTGGGGAGACAGCTCTTCATGTGGCTGCCTTACACAACAGCCTGGAAGTTGCCCAGCTGCTGTTGGAGACCGCTCCAGAACTTGTGGATGAGACTATGACATCAGAGCTCTACAAGGGTAAGGAGGGTGACAATGTTGGTGTTGGTGATTACGGCACTACTAATTCTGCAGTAGTGTTTACCAATCTGAACAAATAATATATCAATGTTCTCTTGAATTCCACAAAAATAATTACAGTAGACCTTGAATCTGAGGGGGCAGGAGAAAGGGGCACCATAAAGTGGGTTGAGTAAGCAGTGGCATCACAGGCCGCTCTTCAGAGTGGAACAGGTTAAAGACAATTGCAGTCTCCTTTGAACCAAACATTCTGAAAGGTCTGCATCTCCCAAATGTTGCTATTGTAGGATACAGTTTCCCATATTTTCTTGCTGGAATATGGAGCTCTTTCCCAGAGAACAAGAAGAAAGAGGCAAAGGGGTTTTTTTAACCCTTTGGATCGGGTTGTGGCGCAGCTGGTTGGGAGTCAGCTGCATTGAAATCACTACTGACCAAAAGGTCATGAGTTTGAAACCAGCCCGGGTTGGAGTAAACTCCTGGCCATTTGTCTAGCTTGCTGTCAACCTTTGCAGACCGAAAGGCAGTTGCATCTGTCGAGTAGGAAATGTAGGTATCGCTTATGCAGGAAGGCTAATTTAACTAATTTACGACACCATAAAACTCTCCAGCAGCATGCAAAAGAATGAGGAAGTACTCCATCAGTGTCACAAGTGGATGGTGAAGCAACAGCTCCCCCGGTGGCCGGAATTCAAAAGCATACCCACATGAAGCTGGAAAGTTAAATAGTCTCTGTGTGTCTGTCTATATATGTTGTGTGTCTATGGCATTGAATGTTTGCCATGTATATGTACATTGTGATCCACCCTGAGTCCCCTGTGGGGTGAGAAGGGCAGAATATAAATACTGTAAGTAAGTAAGTAAGTAAGTAAATAAATAAAGTCCTTTCTCATCCAACATGCTGCAGGAGTATAATGAAAAAACTGTTGATCCTTTCTCCTGTGGTTGGGTAGCATGACTGAGGGACATATAATGGTGAACCCATGCCACTGCTTCTGCTAACCCTCTCCACCGTCTGGCAACAAATTTTGTTTGGGAGTAGCAATAACAGCCATAGTTATATGGGCACTGTAGGGACAGCTCAATGGCTGGCCTGACTGTTGGGTTAGTGATGGAACAACAGTAGACCAATGCACCCAAAGTATCACTATCGCAGACCCTAAAACTGCAAACGGACATCCTTTTGCAAAGCCTGAGTTGGCTGCAATGGTGATTGGAAAAGGGAAACAGTAGTAGCAGTACCCTTCTAGTCCCAATTCTACATGCATTGTCCATTCTCATTGTCTTTATTCTGTATATGGGAGGATGAGACTGTGTTTTAATGACACATAAGCCCACATAGATAATTTTAAACAAAGGTTCAACTACTGCATCTCTCAGAAATGCTACCTTGGATATTTAAGTTGTTTTGTTAAACAAGCGAAAGAGAATCTCCCAAGCCCTGAACTTCTTGGATGAGAATCTGAGCTATCCATTTTAATGGCAATCAGGACTTTATATTATGGAGATGGCAAACCAGCATAGATGTAGGATGTCTACCTTTGGTGGCTGTATCATATGATGCTGTGGGATGCCCATTGCAAATCCTCCACCTCCCCATAATGAAGCCATACCCAGATACTGACAGGGAAAATATGCTGCAACCTACCCAATGCTTGTATTTCAGGAGAGACAGCTCTTCATATAGCTGTGGTGAATAAAAATATGAACCTGGTGAAAGTTTTGCTGGAGAAAGGGGCGGACATTAATGGACCACGAGCCACTGGATATGTCTTCAGGCCCAGGAGTGACAATCTCATCTATTTTGGTATGTCTACAGTCTAGCACTGCATTCTTCTAGAGAAGTCTACTTCTCACACCCTTTTTTTGTGTGTGGAGGGAATGTTTTAACATGGATCATCCATCATATCATCCACACACATACCCCTTGTTTGCAGTATTATACCATCCAAGAGGGTCTTAATCCAAATCACATAAATAACCTCACGTGCATGAAGATATGTAAACAGGCCTTGAGGGAGCAGATGTGAAGGAGAAGAAAGCTCTTGTGTATCATTTGAAAATAGCTGTGTCAAGAAGGGGCTCCCACCAGGTGTAACTTTCTTCATCTCTGTTTAAACAGCTGTATTGGCACTGCACAGGGACTTTCCTTGTCTTTTGCATCAAGTTCCCTAAACAAGGAGTTCAACCTGGGGTTACAGAGTTGTAGCCTGGGTATTGCATTTTTACTTGTATATAAGTCTAATTTTATTTTTTGCCAAGAAAACCCGTGGGTCAATTTTTCCACTCCAGGAACATGCCTCCCTGGTGCATTAAGGAACAACAGTTGTGATGGCAGGTCAAAGGCAACCACCTCTGGCATGGTGGCACCTCTTCCCTTCAGCCATGAAGCAGAAGGTGGCAGAGTTTGAATTAGGCCATCCAGATTAGAATTACATGATCAATCATGTGCCAAACTACATCCCACTATGTTATGAGAATGAGTGCTCCGGGCACATGGAAGAACAGCAGCAATGGTGGCAGGCCAAAGACTAATGGAAGGAGAAAGACTTATTCTGCTCTCTCTGCAACAGACAGGGTGCCACAACAGAGCCACCAGAGAGAGATCAGAAGGGACATTAATTTCCATCATAGTCTCCCAACTTAGATTTAGCTCTTGGACTTTCAGAGGTGAATCCATGCTGAGAAAATCTGAAAGAAGCAGTTGGTACTTACATTTTTCTATTTATCCATAGGTAAAGGTAAAGGCTACCCCTTGACATTAAGTCTAGTCATGTCCGACTTTGGGGGGAGGGTGGTGCTCATCTCAATTTCTAAACCGAAAAGCCAGTGTGGTTCATAGACACATCCAAGGTCACGAGGCCAGCATGACTGCATGGAGCGCCATTACCTTCCTGCAGAAGCGGTACTTATTCATCTACTCACATTTGCAAGTTTTTGAACTGTTAGCTTGGCAGAAGCTGAGCCTAACAGCTCCCCGGATTCCAACCACCAACCTTTTGGTCAGTAAATTCAGCAGCTCAGTGGTTTAATCTGCTGCTCCACCAGTAGAATCCATTTATCCATGGATCTTATTTTAAAAATCTATATCTTTGACCCAAAAATCTGCCCCTAACTTTTATATGAGGTAGAATGATAAACAAGTATATAATGCATTTTAAATAATTTAGACAATCCAAGAGGCTCTTGCAATCTATCTAAAAAGTAATTTGCCTCCTTGGAGGATTCAAAGATATGTAATTAACTCTCCCTTCCAATAAAAAGGTCAGTCTATCAGAAATGCTTTGATGTTGTGTTCCTGCAAGGCAAGGAGTTGGAATACATGGCCCTTGGAATCTTTTCCAAATTGATTCTATGATAGTGAGAAAAAGACTGAGCCTTGAGAGTTGTGTTATAGCTCCAAGGCTACATTTTGCTTGTTGTTGCTTTACATATTCCAGATTCTTGGCTTGAAAGGCAGGTTCTAAGACTAGAGCTCTGAGGAAATGGTCAGGTTACTTTCTGGAGACTTTGGTAAAATATTCAGCTCTTGATTTCCAGAATGAAGCTATTAAAACCAAGCCAATGAAGAATAAACTATTGACAGAGTGTTGTATTTTATTGTTGGTGGCTTTTTACAAAATGCTTTTAATTTGCTTATGTTTTTTCCATTGTGTTCTTAGTGTTATCATTATTGATTTTAATCATGCCTTTTTTCTTTAAAAATCTAGTTGTAAATCACCACTTAGGAAAAAATGTGCCAACATATATTTTGACATGCCTTTCGTTAGAACAGTGGTTCCCAACCTTTTCTTGACCAGGGACTACTTGACCAGAGACCACTTTGAACAGGGACCACTCTCGAATATTAGTACCAAAAGGGTTATGAATCAGTTTTGGGTCAACTTCAGATTCTGTTTGGGGTTGTGATTCAGAAAACAGCATTAGATAGACCACATCAGCTCTAGTTTCTGATACAGAACATATGTCATGGTCAGTGACAGGGAACAGAGTGGCAGGTGGAGCGAAAGGATTGGAAATAAAATAAAATAAAGAGGAAGGAGGTTTGCAGCCCAGATTTTTGTCCTTATGGCCCACTGGTGTTCCGTGGCCCAGAGGTTAAGAACCACTGCTTTAGATTTGTATGGGGGAGTGTTTAGATATGACTACTGCACAGATTTGATTTTTTTTTAAATGTAGTGCAATACAGAATAAGTTTAAGAAGACATGAAAGTGGCCCAGACCATCAACAGGCTGGTTTGCTTATCCATAGATGTCATTTGTAATCTGTTGTGTAATCTGTTCCCACTTCTTTCATTTACAAAGGCATGCTTTTTTGGAATTCCTCCACAGTTCAGATGCTACTGTTTATCCCTTTTAGCAAGCTATTTCAGTTTTTGTATTCCCTGGTCTGCACTGATATTTTCCTTCAAATGCTTGCTCTTCTTTCAAGTGCTGAATCTTTAGCCAATGCAAATTAGGATGTCCCAGCTGATTTTCCTGGCACTGAGGATTTGGCATGCTGTGCTTGTGTGAACCCCCTGTTACCTGTTTCAGGCGGTAATTAAACCATGCTCAGTAGATCAATTTTCAAGCGTTTTGGTAATGAGCCATCATTAATTTTCACTCAGAATAAATTGTAATACTCCCAAGAGAACACATTAAGAAAAGGCGATGCCTCTCTTCTCCAGTTGTTCTCACTCAATCTGAGTTCCAGTCATGAGGGTGGGAAGTATATAATCTCAGGGGGGTATTTAGGCTTCCTTTCACACTTTATAGTTTAGAGTGCAAAGCATAGTAAAGGGTGTTCAGCCTACCAGGCAATTTATCATTTATTTAATGTTTTGGATGCATACATGAATTAAAACTCTTAAAACTAAATAAACTGCTCTAGATTCAAGAATGGACCTCCAAATGTTTCTGGATTCTGATATCTATTTGCTGTGACCAGCTATTGTTTAGGAGTGATGGGCTCTTGTGGAAGGGCTCATTTTCAAGTTTGCTGACATTGTTAAGACACTTAGTGAATCTATTTGTCCACTTTTACTCTAAAGAACTATAACCCGGTATCATATCAGAAAACAAAAATGAAGTGAACTCTCCAAACCCACAGGATCTAGATCAATGATTTCCACTGACAATACATTATTATGAACTGTGAATAAAGAGAGCATGTTCTCTGGTGGAGCTGAAAGCAGGGAGGCCCTGCTTTCGGCTCCGCCAGCTTTGCAAATTTGTTTGGCAGGGATGAGAGACAGGACCTTCTCGGCTGTGGCCCCCGCCTGTGGAACTCACTCCCCAGAGCGATCAGGTTGGCTTCCTCCTCCTGTCTTTCAGGAAAAAACTGAAATCAGGGTCCTGGGACCAGGTCTTTGGACAAGAGACGTAGCAGCACTTGGTTATGGAACTGAACTGGAATGGCTTATGGTTCTGACAAAATTATGGAATTGAACAGGACTGGCTTCATGGTGTTGACAAATGTTTTAACTGCTTTTAACTTAGTGATTTATCTATTGTTTTAAACTATTGCTATATTGTTGTTTGTTTGCATTTATGGCATTGAATTGTTGCCAAATGTGAGCCATACTGAGTGCCCCTTTGGGGGTTGAGAAGGACGGGATAGAAATGCCGAAAATAAATAATAAATAAATAAATGGCAATGATGTGAATATGGACACAATGAAATGTCTACGTGCACATCACTAACACTCAATGTTATATGGAAAAGAAATCATTTGATTTTGTGTGGCCTTACAGGGAAGGGGGGATATATGGGATATATTGAGTATGGTGATCAGATCATGATATGAATAAACAGAATAGTTTAAATAATGCACCAGTAAGGCCTTCTCGCGGACCACCATGAGAATTTGGGGGGGGGGGGGGGGCTACAAGCCTGATAGATAGATAGATAGATAGATAGATAGATAGATAGATAGATAGATAGATAGATTGATACATATCCAACTGTATTGCTTTACTGCTGCAGGTACCTCTTTTCCCATTGTTGTGGTGGTGCCTTCTGCTTGCAGCAGCAAAGGAACAGGCTGTTGCTTTGATGCTGACTTGATGTGGCTGCTTTGCTGTTAAAGCTTGAGCTTCTAACTGTTTGGTTTTCAAAATCTTCTACATATCTTCAGAACTCAAACTGAACATTTTTAAACAATTAACAGAATTAGTCTGATAGATGTCTTGTAATATGAGGGAAGGAGGCAGGGAAGTATAGCTCATATTTTGCATCCAGCCCTGAAGCTTATTCTCAGATTACATCTCCACCCCCCACAAATGTTTTCGCATGAGTTGCTCTCAAAATACTATACAATGTCACTTCCAATCTTCATTTAGAGAAGGACTTTGCAGAAAAACAGGTATATGGTTCATGGTGAAGTGAGGGCCATGGGTGGATCTGTAGGAAGATTGGCCCCAGCTCCTGTGCAGTGGTCACTCCTGTCAGCTGATCCACTGATATGTTCTTATATAGATGTCTGAATGTGTGTATCCACTTTTAAAATTATTTTTCTCTTCTCTTTAGGGGAACATATTTTATCTTTTGCAGCCTGTTCAGGGAGTGAAGACATTGTGAAACTGCTCATTGAACATGGCGCCAACATCCGAGTGCAAGACTCCTTCGGTATGGCATCTTCAGTAGGACCTGCACAAGAGAAGTGGGGGGGGGGGGCTTTAAATTCTCTGCTTTGTGGCTATGTTCCTATTCTCTGTCTCTACGATGCTGGGATGACAGCTATTCTGGGATTGGAACACATCGGTCTTCAGAATTCAAGGACATAGTTGTGTTAGTCTGGATCAGTTTCCAAAGGGAGCTTGTGGTACCTTTGAAACTAATTGAGAGAAAGTTCTTCAAATTAAGTAAATACCATATTTATTTGATTCTGAGATTCACTTCCCCCCATATAGACATCTCTAAAAATGGGGTGTGCCTTTGAATCACAGTTGTTTTATATACATATACCTATATAGTGTGTGTGTGTAGTTTATTTCAATTGACTGAAATTAGTGTGCGTCTTGCAATTAATGGTGCCTTAAAATTAAAGATATATGGTAAATGGCCACCTTACCTATGGGAAACTATATTTGTGGGCAGAATTTTATTTTATTTACTTCATTTATATACCACTTTTTTCACCTGGGGGGAGGGGGGCCTCAACGTGGTTTCCAACATATTTGTGACAAAATTCAATGCCTAACGTACATACTAAAAACCTAACATGAAGCAGCAATAACATAAAACTATCAATTAAATTATAAAAACTTTAATAACATTTAGATATTGAAACATGAAGTTAAAAACATATTAATATAAATATTAAAATCTCATAATCTGAAAATCCTACTCCAAGGCCATTCCAATATCAAGTATCAATTTCACATAATCCCTGTTCATTCCTTGTATTGCTTACTGCCCAAAGGCTTGGTTCCACAGGCATGTTTTTACTTTTTTTCTGAAGGCCAAGAGGGAGGGTGCTGATCTAATTGCATCAGGGAGGGGACTCCATAGTCAAGGTGCTACCACTGAGAAGGCCTTGTCTCTCGTTTCCACCCATTGTACCTGCAAAAGAAGTGGGACCGAGAGCAGGGCCTCCCTGGATGATCTTAAGTTCTGAGATTCTGCCTGGCTTTCTTAATATACTGATTTGTGTGAACAGTAAAATGCTGTCTTGGAAATATTATAGTAGAAAATTCTACTAAACTAAGTTTAACATTTGTTAATCTAAAAACAATGTTCCGTGATTAGAGAGAAAGAATAATTTAGTTGCAGCTGAATTGTCATTTCAGAAATTTATGGATAATTAGAATTCAAACTATTTTACATATTAATTTAAAAAACAAAACTTCCTGTACTCATAATGCATAATACATAGTATAGGCCTTCTCCCTGTCATACTGCTCTTTTTTGAAAAGACAATCTGTGTGTATTAGTGTGCCCACATGTGCTTAATCTACCACTTTGCAGTCTGAAAAGTGAAGTTGAACTAGTGTTGTTCTATGTGATTCTGCTATTTATATATCTTGGCTCTAAGACCTTTTCTTTAGCAGAAAACGGATGCTGACAATCAATTACGTAGTTTTTAATGATGGGCTTTTCTTTCTGTAAAGTCACAAAAGATGGTAATGAAGTTGAGAAGGGACCGTCTGTTGTCTATCAAGGTTTCCTCGGGACACAGGGGCAATTCTTCATTTGTCTTTGTTTTTTGTACTCTGGCAGGAAACACTGTCCTCCACATCTTAGTTCTCCAACCCAACAAAGCGTCTGCATGTCAAATGTACAATCTATTTCTCTGTTACAACAAGCAAGACAAAGAGCTGAGAGACCTGGACTCCATCCCCAACAATGAAGGGCTCACTCCATTTAAACTGGCTGGTGTTGAGGGCAACACAGTGGTGAGTGGGTGCTCAGCCAAATGTTGCTACCATTGCATCACTATGCATTGAATATGTTAATGTGGTATTTGTTAAGACATTGATTTTTATACAACAAATGATGGGTGCTGTAGGCACCTTGAAGGTATCCACACATTTGTATATGCAGTATCTACGGAGACAGTGGGATTGTTTTTGTATATTCGGATGTCCCCATTTACTGCAGTTTGAAACTACATTGTATGGTCAATGTATATTCTGCTTAAGTGCATTGAACTGCATCATATGAGTCTACCCCAGTGGTTCTCAACCTGTGGGTCCCCACATGTTTTGGCCTTCAACTCCCAGAAATCCTAACAGCTGGTAAACTGGCTTTGATTTCTGGTAGCTGTAGGCCACAACATCTGGGACCCACAGGTTGAGAACCACAGGTCTACCCTGACCATATAATTCAGTTTCAAATGTCATTATATGGCAGTGTAAATTGGTCCTCCGTTTCACCTCACTTTTTGTCCTATACACAATGGTTTCCCTGAACCCGTCTAACTAGGTCCTAGGAAGTCCAAGTTAGAACTTTGTCACTGTCCCATTATATACAGTGACAAAGTTATATTTGCTGAAACTTGGCTCCAGAGCCCACTGTGGATGCTCAAGTCCCATTATATATAATGGCATAATAAAATTGTAGCCCTTATAGAAAATGGTTGCTTTGGGGGGGAGGGGATTGAAATGTTTTCAAACTGTGAGCAATAGAATCCATGGATGCAGACTCTGTGGATATGGAAGGCCAACTTTATTTTCTAATACCTCAGAGTGTCCTATGTGATTACTAACTGCTTCCCACTCCCTACAGTTCTGCTTCCCCTGAATCAGGTCATTTTGCATATAGGGAAACTATAAGGATATTTTCTGGTCTTGGTAGCAGGTTGTTTAAGGAAAGAAATAGCACATCACCAGTGCCGAGGAGGATATATTAATCTCTTTGTTGCTCAGCTTCCAGTGATTGGAGAACAATTCTATTCCATTCTGCATTTGTTTTTCACAGTTAGTAGCTGGTTTTGTTCAGCAGCATCATAAGTGATCACTCGCGGTCTACCCTGTATGATTGTATTCCATGGGTAGAGTCTTGGCAGTGGGTCTGTAAGTGGCTATAGAGACCTATTCTGCAGAGACTTATTCAGGATGGGGTGGAAGGGATAGTACACAATCTTTCCTTGTACAGGATGATCCCTGACTCTGCAGGGGATACATCCCAAGACATTGTGGATATCTGAAATCATGAATAGTAGCATATCCTATATTTTTGGGGCAGAAGTGTACTATAGAATACATTGGTGGACCTATGTGGGTTCAGAAACTTTGGGAGGGGGAGGGTGTTTGGAGTATGGGTAAGTGAAATGTGGATATTGAATCCATGAACAGATAGATCATACTGTATTTAAGATATATATAAAGAGAGAGAGAGAGAGAATGCTCACTGAGAATAATATTTTAATTAATTGATTAATTAATTAATAATTCTCGGTGTATTTAGTGTGGCCCCAGCCACCATAAGCTGCTTTTAATAACCCATCTTGTGGCCTTCCAAACACTGAATATGTTGCCAGGACAATATATTGGTTAGTTAAGGGTGTGAAATACAAAATAGAAAGATACCTTTCCAATTAAGGCATTATTTGACATGGTGTTCTATTGGATGTGAGGTTTAATAACATATAAGTTAGAGATTTTGGCTATGATTTCAGAAGAAATCAGTGACTTCTCTAAATTTATTGAGGTGCTGTACTTTATTGTACACCTAAAGATACCCTTGTATCTTGTGAGAAATTTCATATTTTTATAAATATGTATTTTTTAAAAAAAAAAAAGTGAGGGAAATTGCACTACAGAGCTCCATTGCATCATCCATATCAAGTTTGTCACCTGGGGCTTTGGTAACTGCATTGTTTGCCTTTCATTAACCAGATGTTCCAGCACCTGATGCAAAGAAGAAAGCACATCCAATGGACTTTTGGGCCTGTCACGTCTACTCTATATGATCTCACAGAAATTGATTCCTGGGCTGATGATCAATCCCTTTTGGAGCTCATTGTGACCACCAAAAAAAGAGAGGTATTTGCAGAAGGGCCAGGTGATTTCCTCTGGGGGAGGCCTGGTTGGTTTTGGGTTTTTTTTTTAATTATCCAAGATCTTTAGTGAGATCATGAATAGCAGACAGTTTTCTGATCATCACATGCACAATCACAGGAAGAGTGCTTGATGTTTCCAGAATCCTCTGCAATATGACAGATACACAAGCATTCTGTGGCAACTGTGTTGTTGTACCAAGAGTTTCCCAGGAGGAGTGGTAGTGTGAAAATCAAATTGTCTTTCATGCTCTTGACAGCAACAATAGTAATGGTCTGCATGCATTATTCCAATAATAATCCCAATTGTCCTTAAAAAAGGACTAGAATTATACTACGAATGGCAGTGGGGAGGGTGGTTACAAAAGCGATAACCATATTGTAAGCTCAAGATCAAGATGAGAGTTGATCTAAGAGTGTCTAGACATTTCTGTTCATTATTACATTGTGATGATCGCTCTCTTTTATTGAGAACTACTGCTATGTATAGTGAGTCTTGCAGTTCATTTAGGGTAGACCACCATAGTCATGTGGGTTGTTTCTGCTTTATCCTCTGCCAGAATTGTGTCTTTCTAAGGCAATTGGAATCCAGTTGTTTGGGATGGGACAGAAAAAGAAATGTTATTGATACAACATGTTAATTGATCCTGAAAATCCCAACTTCAGGCTGTTTTATCCAGTAACTATTGTTTTCTCATTACTCAAAAAAAAAAAGAATGAAAACTGATGTATCACATCCACACACCAAAATACTTGTGGAATGTTGGACATAACATACCTATGAAAACCTTTATTTTTCAGTGTGCATTTGAATGATTACTCCCTGTTCGTGAATGCCCAGCCCTATTTTACTGATAAGGTTGTATTCAGCACTTTACCCCCAGCCCTGACCCTATAGTTTACTTTTTGCACAAGCCCATGCCCTGCCCTCTCTAATGTGATCATGCCCGTGATATTCCTTGTTACTGGTTGTTGAGGTTGGTTTGATGCACTTTTACGATATTTTTATACTTTGCCATTCTTAATTGTTTAAATTAGATTGTTTATGTTATTCTATATGTTATTATGTTTTTAACTATGTTTTAGTTGGTAAATTTTGTTGTATGCTGGGTTTGGTCCCCATGTAAGCCGCCCCAAGTCCCTTCGGGGAGATGGTGATGGGATATAAAGATAAAGTAGTTGTTGCTGTTGTTGTTGTTGTTGTTATTATTATTATTATTATTATTTTACTGACACAGAAGCACAGTATGTCACAGCAAACGACATCTATATGCTGGATTTTGTATCAAAAAATCACAAGTCGAACACTTCCCAAGCATCTAGGACTGTGTATTATTATTATCATCATCATCATTATCATTATTATTATTATTAATATTATGGTGCAGTGAGACCAACCCAGATAATTACTAATAAAAACTACATCGGTTCACCACAAAAGGAGTGAAGTTATCCTTTGTTATTTGAAACTCATGATGTTATCTCATTATGCCTTCTTTATTACTATTTTTTTTAAAAAATAAACAGAGGCTGGATGGTCATACATTCAGATGGAAGTTTGTTTGTATCATATGTGTTTTTGGTATGTTTTAACTTTTGCATTTTATGTTTTATTGTCGATATTGTGTGTTTTATATTTTGTAATCAGCTTTGGGTCCAGTGCAGAGAAAGGTGGGGTAGAAATATCTTAAATATTATTAATAATTATAATTATCATCATCATCATAATCCATTGGGTGTTCTTGCATGGCAGTGGGCTAGACTGAATGGCCCATGTGGCCATTTTGCTGATTAACCGTCTTCCTTGGGAAAGGGAACTGCAAAATCTTTTGGTTTTATGGAAGAAGCTGAGCAAAATGCCTTTTTATATCCTTTAGGCACGTCGTATCCTAGATCTTACTCCTGTGAATGAGCTGGTAAGCCTGAAGTGGAATAAATATGGAAGACCGTATTTTTGTGTCTTGGCCTTTTTCTATGTCCTGTACATGATTTGCTTCACAATGTGCTGTGTCTACCGGCCGCTGAAACTTCGAAGTGGAAACAAAACCTATGAGAGGGATAACACCATCTATGTGCAGAAACTTTTGCAGGCAAGTTCTCTTTTAACTTGAATTTTAAGGAACAGAAAAATTGCCTAAGCTGATGTTAGCAGCTGCTGTTATGATTTGAATAAAATGAAAGTTTACCTGGTAACACCTGCAACCTTGACATTTGTTTTATATAAAGTTCCAAAATGGACAAAAACCGAGCATTTTTCCCAAAACAAAAGTTAGTATTGTCATATCAGTCTTAAAATGGCATTTGAAATATGAACTGAAGTCTAAATAACAGGTTTAATCAAAATTAGTTTTCAGATGTGTATGTTAGAGTGAAAAATATTGAAATTGGAAGTTTTTGTTAACATACACAAAGTACCATACATATTCATGTACAAGTTGACCTCATCTATAAGTCAAGAGCAGGCTTTACAGTCATAATTATGGATTTTGATCTGTGGGTAAATCGAGGGTCATTCCATGAAGAGGAGAAAATGCTATTATATTTATTTATTTATTTATTTATTTATTTATTTACGACATTTATATGCCGCCTTTCTCACCCTGAAGGGGACTCAGCGGCTTACAAGATATATACACATACAATATATTATATTATTAGCATAGTACAATATCAGTATTATATATTACTATATTATACTATACCATTATATTGTAATATTATTAGTGATATTGCATGTAATAAAAATATATAATTATAATATTGAATTATTATTATTAGTAGTATATTGTATTACATTATAATATTATAAATATTATATGTATATATTATATTATATTATATTATATTATATTATTAGCATAGCACAGGAGACAAGGTGGAACTGTCTTCCTGGCCCCCTCTCTCTTCACTCTGGCCCAGAGCAGCAGTAGGTGCTGGGAGAGGGGCTGTCAACCAATGACATAGGCAGGAGACAAGGTGGAACTGTCTTCATGGCCCCCTCTCTCTTCACGCTGGCCCAGAGCAGCAGTTGGTGCTGGGGAAAGGGTCTCTCAACCAATAACATAGGCAGGAGACAAGGTGGAACTGTCTTCTTAGACCGCCCTGAGTCGCCTTTGGGCTGATATGGGCAGGATATAAATAATGTAAATAAATAAATAAATAAATAAATTCATGGCCCCTCTCTCTTCATGCTGGCCCAGAGCAGCAGTTGGGGATAGGGGCTCTCAACCGATGACATAGGCAGGAGACAAGACAAGACACCCTATCTCAAGTTATGAGTCATCCCTGGCTTCCATGACTGCCATTTTACTGCTTGGGTGTTTAAAAAGACTGGAGACGGTCAAATCTCAGAGAGAGTAGAAGGGGTTGGTGGTTCTTTTAGGTTCTACCAAGAGGGACTAAGCTCTTGTCTTTCACCACTCAAATCAGACAAGGAGTTGTTTCCTTTTTCTGATAAGAGCTAAGATACAGTCTGGATAAATCAGCTTAGATTTTTGTCTAAGATGTCAAGATTTATACATGACTATATGCAATATTTGTCAGATAGAATCCAAATATTGAGTGTGACCTTTGTTTTGGTCCCATGTTTAGTGACGCTTGTCATCAAACATGAGACTGACATTATCTAGAGCGGGAGAATTTCAGACAAGGTCTTGCCAGGAGTGACATCCACATAAACTGTGTGTCCTGCAGTGAGCATTAAAGAGTGGATATGTAACCTGAGAGATCAAAATCAGTAAACAAAGAAGAGTCTGACAAACATTTATGGCCTATAAAGAAGAATAAAAAATTGAATGGTACTGTTCAACCTGAAGGGATGAGGAAGATTGTATCTCCTGAGATTCCTAGGACAATTATTCAAGGGACAGAATACCCATCTCCCTTACAAGGTGTTCAGATTTTCCACTCTAAGAAGTCGACATTCTTATTCTCGACCATCCTTTTGTTTCCAAACAGCCTTGGAATGTTTCACCCCATCTCCTAACTCTAACCACCAACATTTAATCTCCCAGATATAAGGCTGACTGACACACACCAAAGGTGGAGTTACATTGTCTTTGTTGGTTAATGTGGCTAATAAGTGGCTCTCTTAGTTGATAGCTGAGTTATTTTTGAAAGCTGGCTGGTAACTGGATCCCCTTTTCAGAAATAACCGGAACTACATTTCAGATTAGTCCAAATCATTCTGAAGCAAACCTCCAGGTTTCTGTGTACTCGTTTTAGAGTATGAGCCATCTAATATGAAAAACCAATTCATGGTTCTGCTTTTGTCTTGGTTTATTTAATTAGATCAAGAGTCTAAATATGCAAATTATTCTTTCTATACCTATCCATAAAATGCACATTTAAAGAAATATGGTATGTCTTGCTATATATTGCTTCTGGAAGATTCATGTACTCTAGTTGTGACCAGCTTCAAGGGAGAAAAGAATCTAGGTTTGCTGAGCAGCTACTGAGAACATGCCAATTTACAGGCTCAGTTGGAGACCTGGATGGCACACTTAAGAGCACATTCCTTCCCTAGTGGGTCATAGAGGTATGCTAAATCCAGTTTTAAATGTCACTACTAGAACTTTGATTTGGATTTAGAACGTTATCCCACATTGGGGGAGGGAGCTTCATATTACCGTCGTGTTGTGTCCCATCGTGTTAGAAAGTGAACTGTATCATTTCTTAGATCCCATCACATGTTGTTCTTTCTTGCCTTTTCTCCTGAAATCATCCACTTTCAGATTTATCATACAAATGGGTGAAGTTTCTGTCCACTCCATGAAAAAAAACCTTGAGGGGAAAAACTTTGAGGATATTGGGCTTTTGCCTCCAATCCTGCTCCTCTGGAGTTGACCTAAGGCACAGATCTTAACTAGACACCACTTTGGGGATACTGGGCTTTCCTCTTAATCTCAATACACCCTATTGCGGAAGTCTAAAACTTTAAAAGCAAGCAGCAATAATAATAATAATATTTATTTATTTATTTATTTATTTATTTACTGCTCTATCTCCCCGAGGGGGACTCAGGGCGGTTTCCAAGTAACATCACCAAAACATACAGAGTATACAGCATGGCATAAGATTAACAAAACAACATAAGCATAAAATTATTACAATAACACACATATATAAAAATAATCCTGCCTATTCAAAGCAGTTAAAAGTCCGGGCCGAGGCTAATGCAAACTCAAAATATGAGGGGACCGGGAATTAAGTACAGTGCTATAACAGGCTAACAGCAATAGCAGGTATGGGTCTGTGGCTGCTCATTTCCAGGGCCTATTAGAGGGATGATCAAGGTAATAGATAGGAAGTATAAGGCCATATTTAACAATGTTTTGGGCTGAGCTAGAACTGGTCATTCTCAAAGGCTTGTTGAAACCACCAGGTCTTCAAACTCTTATGAAAGGAGGGGAGGGATTGAGCCTATCTTATTTCCTTTGGAAGGGCATTCCAGAGGTGGGGGGCCACCATTGAGAAGGCCCTCTCTCTCATCCTCACCAACCATACTTGTGACGATACCACAACTTCAAAAGCCAGGAACACTATGAAGGAGAAATAAGAGGAAAACAGAGATATTTTGAAATTCCGGTATTTCTAATGATTTATTTGCCTTTTAAATAATGCCATCCCAGTCCCTTGAAGCAGGATTTTGGGAAATAAATGTCAATGCTTGGCAGGGGACCATCCACAGGAACTCCCCTTACTTGTCATCACTGAAATGATTCAGCATGGGCAAATTTGACAGATCCCATGCCACACATGTTTTTGCTGTATTCTCCAGTTATATACTGATTACTGAGCTCAGAAGACAATCTCTAACCACCCCCCCCCCCCCCCCGTTTTCCTGACACTTAAGAAACGCTTTTATAATGGGGCATGAAGGACACAAGGACACAGACAGCATGTCCCCCCATATCGTGGTATGGACTCCAACATGCATACATTTAAAAGTGTCTAGAAATGGGGGAGGTGTACGTGTGCATGGATAATGTTGTTAGAATGATTTTTTTCTTTGGTAATTTAGTTCTTGGTTATTTTATGTTCCTAACCAAATGCATTACGATTTTTAGGAATCTTACCTAACTCCGGAAGATGACTTGAGACTAGTTGGCGAGCTCATCACAGTCATTGGAGCCATAGTGATATTGATTCTGGAGGTAATGGAGAGATGGGTTTCCATTCTCAGTTTTTGTGTCAAATGAGCGGGCACAAATTTTCAGGTCAAGGGAATGAAGAAAAAAATTACATGTTAAAAATACCAATATTATTTTTATTGCTGTTGCATATAAACCATTTCTAAACGCTTTGATCTTTTTTATTAAATTTGTCAAAAATACTGTTGAAAATAAATGTCAGGCATTAAGATTTATATTCATTTTATAATTAAGTGGTGTGGAGGGGAATTATTGAAAATTCTGGTGATTGGTTGTAACAAATTTAGGAGATATCGAGAATAGTTTTTAGTTGTACTGGAATTGACATATACCCAGGATATTCTTGTTGACAAATAGGTTTGTCAAAACAAAAGTTAATACTGTAATATTTGAACTTAATTCTTTAAGCTCCTTTGAGACCAATGCTATACATGATTACTTAAATATATATTAATATCAGTAGGATAACAGGTGGATGAGCTTTCGTTCAAACAAGACTCCATCTTTTGAAATAAAGCCTTAAGCTTCCCAACTTCAATAAATTGGCATGATTATTATGATATGGTTATTATAGCACACAATTGGATATTTCTCTCAGAGTGTAAATTATGTTGTGATTCATGTCTGACATTGTCTCATTTCTGGAATCCCTGAGAATGTATCTTTGCTTGTACAACTATTTTTTAGAAAGCATAATGCCACAATGTGACTGTTCCTAGTCAAATCCAGTACACATATCTCTTATAATAGTGCTTAACTGAGAAATCTTGGGGCTCATCCTTATCTAGAAATCTTGCTTTTGTTGATCTCCTTCCAGTAAATGATCTCTCTATGGTGACACAGACTTACATTTGTATGCCAATTGTCCTAAGAGTGGTTTCAAAGAAACTCACTAAATAAAAATAGCAATATAAAATCAAGAATAGACATCAGTACAACATGGCAATTATATATTATGACAGTGGTTGCAATCACAATGGTTCACTTCATTAATAACAACAACAACAACAACAACAGCAACAACAATAATAATATACTTTATTTACAACTCACCCTCTCTCTCTTAAGGGACTCAGAGCGTTTTCTAAAATACAACAAAAATGGCAAGCATTCAATGCCAGAAACAAATAAACAGCAATCAAGACAAAACAAGAAATAAACAAACTCAAAATAACTTATAAACAACCAAAATTAATGGAAGATATACTAAATAAACATAATATAACACCAGTTAAAACACAGTTCATTAAAAGCATATTATATACCACATAAATGGGTTGAGGTAGGTATCCGATGTCAAGGTGACGATGTGTGTAGAATATCTTCATCTTCTTCCTCTCCATAAGCTAAAATACACTGGTAGGTCTTTAAAGTAGAGGAGAGAGGGGGCAATTTTTAGTTCTTTAGAGAGGGAGTTGTAGAGGCGGGCTGCAGGCACAGAGAAGGCCCCCTCTCTCGTTCCCACCAATCAGGCTTGAGATGGGAGTGGGACTGAGAGCAGGGCCTCCTCCGCTGACTGCAGTGCTCATGCTGGTTTGTAAGCAGAGATGCGGTTTTTCAAATAGTCTAAGACTAACATAGGCAATATTATTTATATATTTATTTAGTATCAATCATTACTTAACTGATTTTTTTTCAATCATGAAGGCTAGAGTCAAAGGACAGACCCTTTCCAAAGCAGTCAAATACTAACAAAGACAACTATCACAGAATCATAGAATCCATGAGTTGGAAGAGACCTTGTGGGCCATCCAGTCCAACCTCCTTCAAAGAAGCAGGAAAATCGCATTCAAAACACCCCTGACAGATGGGCCTCCAACCTCTGTTTAAAAGCCTCCAAAGAAGGAGCAAAAAGTACTCCCAAAGTGTTAAGTGCAAGAAATTGCTAAACGATCTTATAGTAAATGGTCATTCCCATACTTCATTCTCTTGTTTATGTGCACCTCAGAGTCAAAGCAGTGAGGTTTGGCTTCTTCCCCTGTATGCAATGAGCTTTCTCTGTATGAGCTTTCAGCCAGTTTAATTATATCTGATTTAAGTCTTGCTGAGCAGAGCTCTAGCACTAAAAAGTAAGTTCTAAAAGTCTTCCTCAATGTGAGTGCCAATTGCTAGGCCCCATTTCGTCCTTTTTAAAAAAACTAACAAGCAAACAACAGAAGAACGGGCAAATAGTTACATATTGAAAGGTCATTAATTGTTAATAGGTTATCACAAAAGGGACTTTTAATCTTTTATCTGTATTTTTAATCGTCATTATTATATTTTAAAAGCTTTTAGAGCTTTTTAAAGGGAGTGTTCTTAGTATGATTGTTTATTTAATGGTTGAAATTGTACTTTAAGTTATTTTAGCAGCATTAAGAGAATGATGGTATATTAATTAAATGAAATTACTAAAGCAGTTGTTTTCAAAAGAGTCAAACATTTTTATCAATGATCTTCTCTCAGATTCCAGATATTGTCAGAGTTGGAATCACCAAATATTTTGGGCAGACGATCCTTGGAGGACCGTTCCATGTCATCATGTGAGTCTCCTTTCTAGGTTGTGAGTGTAGAATGAGAAAGCCATTAAAGTCTTTGAATCTGGATGTCACGGGATTGAATTTTTATTCTCTTGCTGTTTCTGCCCATCCAGCATCACATACGCCTGTATGATACTGCTGACTATGGTGATGCGTCTTACGAGTACCCAAGGAGAGGTGGTTCCCATGTCCTTTGCTCTGGTGCTTGGCTGGTGCAACGTCATGTACTTTGCACGGGGATTTCAAATGCTGGGACCCTTCACCATCATGATCCAAAAGGTGAGAGTTATAGTAGTCTACACAGAAAGTGATAGCCAATGTATAACAAAATATAAACATTTAAAAATCTGCACAAAAATATAAAAAAATTTTTGTATTTCACACAGAATACACATTTTTATTTTTATTGTATTTATTTATAACCCGCCCTTCTCACCTCCAAAGGGGGACTCAGGGCTGCCTCACAGCAATCACAATCGGTGTTTTCACATAAACATTCAACAAATACAATTAAAACATCAAACTGTTAATTAAAAACAGTTAATTAAAAAACAATTAATTAAACACGCCAATTGAAATCCAAAGCCGGGTCTGGGTAAGTTCATTGTCGCCAGTTGCTTAAATCTTCTTCTCGCTTGCTGCTATTCAATGGTCGAAGTCTTGGTCCCATAGCCAAGTCTTGAGTTTCCTTCTGAAAGACAGGAGGGAGATGGCCAATCAGATATCTCTGGGGAGAGAATTCCACAGACGGGGGCCACTGCTAAGAAGGCCCTGTTCCTCATCCTCACCAATCGCGTTTGCGATGGCAGTGAGATTGAGAGCAGGGCCTCTCCAGATGATCTTAGACTTCATGATGGTTCATAACAGCAGATACGTTCGGACAGGTAAACTGGGCCAGAACCATTTTTGCGAACATAGAGAGAAAAGGAGATGTGTGGACCCAAGCTAGTCGAGTTAGAGTGAACTTTGCAGTAGAGAAAAGACAAATCTTTCAGAGTCAAGCCTTTACAGACTTGTACTACTCTCAAGGTGTTTATACCAAGTGAAGAACAGGAATGAGGGGAAGGCACACTGAACATTTCTCATCTTTGTGGAAGTGGTTTGGAACCCAGTACACTGACTAACTTCACCTGAAGTGAAAAATTATCTTGTGGAATAAAGGATATCAGCCTGTAGAGAGAAATAAAAATCTCTTCTGATGCCCAAGGCCATCCAGTTCAATCCCTTCTGCTTGGCAGGAATACACAACCAAAGAGCTCCTGAGAGATGGCTATCTAGCACCTGTTTTGAAAACCTTCAGAGAGGGTGATCCCAGCATATCTATTTAATGAGCAGGAATAAGAGGTATTCCATAGTGTAGGTTATGAAAACCCACTCAACTGTGGAATGTGTTCCCTAGACTTCTGTTTATTTCTTAGAACAGTTTGCATTCAGAGCACTTGATACATTTGAATTGATACTAGAAATTAAGAAATAAAATATACGTAATCTGTTCTAGACGGCCTATGGCCTGATTTCCCTTCTCATATTGAGTTTGGCTGGGAACAAAGGTGTGCCTTCTCTGCCAGTCTGCTACCAAGGACAATTCAAAGTGCTGGCTTTCGCACAGCTTACCTGTCCGAATGTATATCCCTCTCTGAATCATCACAGAGGTTAAGATTATCTGGGGAGGACCTGCTCTCAGTCCCGCCTCCGTCGCAAGTCCGGTTGGCAGGGACAAGAGACAGGGCCTTCTCAGGGTGGCTCCTTGGCTCTGGAACTCCCTTCCCAGTAAGATTAGATCAGCGCCCTCCTTCCCGGCCTTTAGAAAGAGAACAAAGACGTAGTTGTGGGATCAAGCCTTTGACTAATAAATAATGAAGTGCAATTGTGCAATGACAATTTGGAATGGCTATGGTGTACGATTTCTGGATCATGGGATTTTAATATTTATGCTAGGATGATTTTATGCTTTGTCTGAATGTTTAAATTTTAGGTATGTCTTATGTTTAATGGGTTTAATTGATTTTACGTTCAGAGTTATATGTACTAATTAGTTATTAAGATTTCTTTGTGCACTGTATGCTGACATTGATTTTTTGCCATTGGTATGTTGTAAACTACCTTGAGTCCCCCCAGGGGTGAGAAAGTTAGTATATAAAAACAGTAAATAAATAAACAGTAAATAATTGTCATAGTGACTATATGCTTTTCTCTGTGTTTGCATGTTTAGATGATCTTTGGGGACCTCTTACGTTTCTGCTGGTTAATGGCAGTGGTGATCCTTGGCTTTGCATCTGGTAAGTGATGTGTTTTCTAATTGTATGATATCACTGGTTAAATTAGCTGGCACATGGCTGTGCAGATGTATTATAACTGGTACACTTGAGCCAGAGCAAGAGAAGCCCAAGAGGAATAGTCCTTGACTGCCCAAAATCTAGTGGAGGTGCGGATTTGTATACATTAGCCTCTTACCTTTCAATTAAATGTTTTAAAAGGCATAACGTACACAACACATGTGCAAGTGGTTCCCCACAGTCTTTTTACTTTGTTAATTTGTTACTTTGATGTCCCATCAGTTATCCACTAAGCTCAAGCCATTACCATCCTCTTTAGCTCTTAATTATCAGGTTTTGCTGAGGCTCATCTCTCCCTGGACTCTCATCAAAACCTCAAAGTGAGGAGGATTTAACTCAGATGTAAATCTGTCCATTTCTACTCAACTCTCTTCAGTGAACAACATTATGCTTATGAGTACAGTTGACCCTCCACATTTGCAAGTTTAGCTTTAGTCGATCTGATTGTCCATGGATTTGATGATAAACATAATTGATCAATATGTTCCTTCTAGGAACCTCTAGTCCTCCAGCACAACTTCAACTAGAAGTTGGATCTTCCCCCAACTTCAAGGTAGAAGGCCTAGAAATGCTCTCTCAGCTTTTAAAAATCACATTTTCAATTCGCTTTCCCCCACTTTTGTGGAAGTCCTTTACCTTTAACTCCAGCAAATACAGAGGGTTACGTTAATGGAGAGTGAGAAGTAATCTACTCAGCCTTGACTCTGACCTCAGATACTACAATCCCTCTTACGATCTCAAGGCACGATTGGAAAGTCCTCTCAGTAATCCTTTCTAGTCAGGGGAGATTGACTGTTCCACCCTTGATAAGCCCAGAAAAGACATCTATACTATTACAAGGGGCTCGTGTTGTTCATCTGTTCCATAGGTCACCAGACCAACGAGAAACTGGAGAGATACTAAGGGAGCCCAGAAGGTTTTGTTTTGTTTTTAATAAAGTAGCACATGTTATGGAATGTTGGAAGTTGTATTTTGGTGAAGTACAGCTCTCTTAGACAGAGAAGGGGTGAGAAAGGTGGTATATAAATACTGCAAATAAATAAATAAATAAATAAATAAATAAATAAATAATGCTATGGACCTTATAAACTATGTGTGTTTGAAGCTTCCTAGCCACAAATGGAAAGACAATGTCATATCTATTTTAAGCAGCTGAAACCACTTTGATCTTGTCCTTCCTGGATGCTTTCCATTCTTCCTCTTAATCATAGAATCATAGTTGGAAGAGACCTCATGAGCCATCTTATCCAACCCCCTGCCAAGAAGCAGGAAAATCACATTCAAAGCATCCCCGACAGATGGTCATCCAGCCTCTGTTTGAAAGAAGGAGACTCCACCACATTCAGGGGCAGAGAGTTCGACTGCTGAACAGCTCTCACAGTCAGGAAGTTCTTCCTAATGTTCAGGTGGAATCTCCTTTCTGTAGTTTGAAGCCATTGTTCCACATCCTTGTCTCCAGAGCAGCAGAAAACACACCTGTTCCCTCCTCCCTATGACTTCCTCTCACATATTTATACATGGCCATCATCATGTCTCCTCTCAGCCTTCTCTTCTGCAGGCTAAACATGCTTAGCTCTTTAAGTCGCTCCTCATAGGGCTTGTTCTCCAGACCCTTGATCATTTTAGTCACCCTCCTCTGGACACAATCTGCAGGAGAAATTATAGCTCCCTACTTATATCGTTGGGATTGACTTCTAAGGGATTGTACAAAGGTTGTCAATACCAGGTTTTACAGAAAAATATGAGTTTAGGGGAGAGGATTAACTGAAGAGAATGTTATGGCATATATGTTGTAGCAAGGACAAACATGTGTAAAGGTGCATCAGGGACTTGTTTTGCAGTCTTAAGCCTTGTCTTCCAAAGATTGCTAGTCACTCATGAAACTACAAATCCCAGGATTTCATAGCATTAGGCCATTGCTATTAATGTGGTGTCAAAAGAGGAGAATGAGGAGTAGGAATTAAACTGTAGCATTGCCCATAATTAACAAATGTGCACTATGTAAGTTATAGGTTCACATCTGAAAAATGTCCTAGGCAAGGAAACCTTGAAGTTGGACATTGCTCGCTCATGATCTTTTTTTGCTTCTCTTTGACAGCTTTTTATGTCATTTTCCAAACCGAAGACCCTGATGAGTTGGGTCACTTTTATAACTATCCCATGGCACTCTTTAGCACATTTGAACTCTTCCTCACTATTATTGATGGACCTGCCAACTATGAAGTGGACTTGCCTTTCATGTATGGCATCACGTACTCTGCCTTTGCTGTCATTGCCACCCTCCTTATGCTGAACCTGCTTATTGCCATGATGGGCGATACCCACTGGCGTGTGGCCCACGAGCGGGATGAACTTTGGAGAGCTCAGGTGAGCATATAAAGAAGGACGTAAGGGCCTGCATTTACAATGAAATTTGGAATCTAGTGAAATTATGTACTGGAGAAAAGATTCCTGTGCCTATTGGTGGGGAGGAATTACATCATGAAAAATCTGTAATCCTTTCAATACTGTTATATGAGAAAGTAAGGAGCAATAAACATCAAAATATTTTTACTCTGCATTTTGGCTTAATAAAACCTAAGAGTACTTACAAAATAAAATGTGGATTGTGCTGTTTTAACTATCCACCATCAGGAAGGGGAGGAGCCTGATGGCACTTTGTTGCAGCCAAGTCAACGGTAGAGGTATAGGTTAAATATCTCTCATCTGAAATGCTTGGAATGAGAAGTATTCCTTATTTCTGATTTTTTGGCATATCTGTATAATGAGGCATCATGGAGATAGGACCCAAGCATAAACATAAAAGTCATATATATTTCTTATATGGTTTATAAACCACTGAGTTGCTGAACTTGCTGGCCGAAAAGTTGGAGGTTCGAATCTAGGGAGCAGGGTGAGCTCCCGCTGTTAGCCCTACCTAGCAGTTCGAAAACATGCAAATGTGAGTAGATTAATAGGTACCAATCCAGTGGGAAGGAAATGGCACTTCGTGCAATCATGCAGACCACATGACCTTGAAGACATTTACGGACAACACCGTCTCTTCAGCTTAGAAATGGAGATTATCACCACCACCCAGAGTTGGACACAACTAGACTTAATGCCAAGGGGAAACCTTTACCTTTACTTATATGTCTTATACACTCATTCAATACTCAATATCTTGTACAGGCAGTCATTGGGTTATGGGGGGAAAAAAAGGTTCTGTAGGTTTGTTCTTGTTTAATTTCTATGTAAGACGAAGCAGTACATTCCAGCCTCCCTTTTTTAGTTTAGATCCTATAGGGAAGGGTTAACACCGCTATAACATTTGTTTACCAGTCTATGCCCCTGTTTAGAAGATTTCACCTCTCTTCTATTGCTGTGACGATTGGATTTTGAACATTTTGGCTTGTGGAAACAAGGATTGGTGAAAAAGCTTAAGTGGAGGCACTTTTTCCCCATAATAACTTTTCCAGGAGTGAATTTCGCTTCCTAGCGGTAGATTTCTCTCACTTCCTGTTGTCTAACCCCATTCTATAACTAGGAGTTGTATGCAAATTGGATGTTTGTAATTCGGGGACTGCCTCTACATGAAATGAACTTTGTGTCCATTCAACCATCCGAAAGCAAATGTTTCACTTTCTCTGTGATCCATGTGGACACTTTTCAGTTTTTGAGTATTTTGGATTTCAGTATAAGGGATGTACAAATTGGTGTTGTTCTTTTTTCTCTTTTTGTCATGATGTATGTTGAGAAACATCTATTGCCAAATGTTATGTTTCAGGTTGTTGCCACAACTGTGATGCTAGAGCGCAAACTACCACGATGTCTGTGGCCTCGTTCTGGGATCTGTGGGAAGGAATATGGGCTTGGAGACCGGTGGTATCTGAGGTAGGTTTGGCAAAGAAGTGATTCCTTTAGCATTGGAAGACCCACATGTGTGTTGAAACTGTATATTTTCATTTTCCTATACCACAGGACAGTGATTTTTTTATATAAAAATATTTTTCATTAATTCAGATTGCCAAACAACTACATTTGGCAACACTATGCAAAGTAATAAAAATAAATATGACTGACTGAGACTTAATTCAACAGAAAACGCATTCTCAGTAGTTGTGTAGCAGACATTTTCCTGGATTATTAATTTTTGCCTGCAAAGGAATATTGGAGAAAGGCAAGGTAACCTTGCTCCTACTTTTTATTCATGGTTACTAACATTTGTGCCAGCCATTGCTTTCCCCATATTGTTTTATTCAGATGTGTGAGAAATGTACAAGAAAAGTTTGCTATAGATTAAAAGCCATTTGAAGACACAAAATAATAACATACAGTATATATTGCAAATTTGGTGCTGTTCCATTATCTGGGCGAAGGCCAGAGAAAGTCTATTTTATGGGGGGTGGAAGATGAGTTGAATGATTAAAACCATTTCCCCTGTTTTCCTGTTATTCCCCCCACCCACGCCCCTGTCATGGAAGCAACCCTCATTTATGACATGAGAAGTTGGGAGGGTGTAATGAATCTGACTCACTTTAGAAAGTTAGGAAGCGACCTACCTTAAAGGGCTGGAGTGTGAGCAGCCATTTTGGTGGTGCCCAGAGAACAATAGCACGAGTGGGGAAGCTATTTACATGCAAGCAACCTGATTGGTCGGATGCAAATGAGCAGGTGCCAAGATTTGAAAGAGGGGCAGAAACAAGGTTGACAGTCGGAGAAGCCCAACTGAATATTCTATGGCAGCTAGAGAGTCAGCTGGAGGCAGTCTATGAGAGTGAGTTAGGGTCTGGAAGGAAGTAGCTGAAAAGCAACTGGAAGATTGATCAAAGAAATAGGATAAAGATAGTGTGAAGTTTGTTTTATGTATTAGTAGAAAAGTCCTTTTGGGGGGGTAAAGGAATAGATTGAGTCAAACTCATATTGGCATGTTGTTCTGTAAGCAGCAAGCATTTGATCCTATGTAACCACTACGCTTAATACCACAAGAATGCTACAAATAAACTGAGTTACTGTTTCATCATAAACAAAGCCTCTCTCTCTCAATCTCTCAGTTAGAGATCCCTCGGTGGAATGATGAAATAAAAGGCCCCCTGCCTGAAGATTGTTTGTTAAGGATCTTCTTTTTGTTTCAGAGGGGAAATAACCAGCGAAAATTCTTCAAACATTTTGATCTTGAAAAAGTCTCCAAATTCACCACGATGCTGCTTTAGGTCACATTTCTTGGCAGTTGTAGTTACAACCAGCAGTGCCATTCTAAACTGCTGAATTTCACCCATGTGTTGTAGAAGCTAAAAAGCTGCAAATAATATAGGATTTGGTGACAGCGTGGGTTGCTTGTTTGTTTAGGTCTTCTGTCTTTAGATCCCAGCACTTCATGTGAAAGTACTGTAAATGATTATACTTTGGCAAATCAATGTGTATGTGTCCTTGACAGTTTCCTGATATTCTGTGCTAATGTTGAGTTCCCTATTGCATATTTTGTGAACATCTAATGCACTCTGAACCTTTGTGTATTATATAAAATTAATGGCTTTGCCTACACCGGTTTTTGGCTGATTTGCCACTTTTTCAGCTTCAGCGACCTTTACAGGTCTTTCCAAACCAAGCTAATAGTAATTCTGTTCTTTCACAGCAGGTAGAAAATGCTGGGTTTTCACCCTTTAGTTACAGGTTTTACTTTCGACATACTTTGTTAGACTCTCCAAAACAATAAAAAGTCCCTTCCTGAGTTTGGAAAATTCCATGTGCAATTGAGACTTACAATTCTTAGAGAACTGGGATCCCATGTAAACATGAAATTATAATGGTTGTAGTTTTACAGTCCTCAGTTATAGGATTAGCCTCTCAGCACCCATTATTCTGGGAGTGATATTACAAAATTCTTCATAAAAATTAGTTTGGGAGAAATAGAGATTTCCATGCAGCATGAGGAGCTTAATTATTTTTACTCTGTTTAATGGTTTTGCATACCTCTTTAGCTGCAGTTTCTGCTGGATTTCATACTTATCTCTTCTTCCTCCTCCTCCTCCTCCTCCTCCTCCTCCTCCTCCTCCTCCTCCTCCTCCTCCTCCTCCTCTTCCTCCTCCTTCTCCTCCTCCTCCTTCTCCTCCTCTTCCTCCTCCTCCTCCTCCTCCTCCTCCGCCTCCTCTACCTCTACCACTTCCTCTACCACTTCCTCCTCCTCCTCCTCCTCCTTCTTCACTCCAGACTTCATTGATCACATTACTTTAGAACACACCTGGCATTGCACCTGAGCATAAACCCAACAGCCAGCCTCAGCTCCCTGATAAATGAACCTACATGTTTGCAAACATGAGTTCAGCAAATTCACACATGCTGTTTTGAACAAGATATGCAGAATGGGTATATTTCCTGAGGGTAGTCATCTTCCATCAAATAAATTCACCCATGACATTGCTAAGAGGATCAGAATCCATGGATACATTTCATGAGGGCAGTCATCTTCCATCAAAGTGAATGGATCAATGGATGATGCAGGAAGACCTTTTGCTTACATAGATCTACAATAAAAGGGACGCAGAGCTAAGAAAGAGGCTCTGTGATCTTGAGGAACCATTTTAAAGACTATTTGAGGAACCATTTTAAAGCTCACTTGAAGAGCTTGGGCTTTGGCTGCCTACATTTCTAGGCTGCTTTTCAAGAAATGCTGGAAAGGACCTTCTATCTCAGGCCTTGCAAAAGTATTACCAGGCAAGTATTCTACTAGATCAAGAGAAAGGTTCTCATCCTTTTCGAAGCAATACACATTTTTTGGATTTTTGAATAAAGTAATTGTGTATCTATTTTCAAAATATTAGGTGGGTCTACTCACAAAACAACCATTTTACAGAAGGACAAATTGGTGTTGCCGGGAAAAAAGGAACTTGTGTAAAAACTGAATACAAATTTAAAAGTGTGTATCAACCTCCGAAAACACATACAAACAATTCTTCCTTTCTCCTTTATCCTGCACTTGATATTCTCTTAACCCATTCACTCCCTTCAGGATGATGATGATGATGATACACACAAAAATACTGTAGGACTCTCGAATCCAGACTGATGAAGTTTTGGAACACAATACACCAGACATCATGATTGTGGAAAAGAAAAAAGTTTGGATTATTGATGTCACCATACCAGTTGACAGTCTCATTGAGGAAAAACAACAGGAAAAACTCAGCCACTATCAGGACCTCAAAATCGAATTGCAAAGGCTCTGGCATGAACCAGTACACGTGGTCCTAGTGGTCACTGGCACACTGGGTGCCGTGCCAAAAGATCTCAGCCGGCATTTGGAAACAATAAACATTGACAAAATCACGATCTGCCAACTGCAAAAGGCCACCTTACTTGGATCTACACACATCATTTGAAAATACATCACACAGTCCTAGACGCTTGGGAAGTGTTCGACTTGTGATTTTGTGATATGAAATCCAGCATATATATCTCATTTGCTGTGACATACTGTGTTTTTGTATCAGTAAAATAATAATAATAATAATAATAATAATAATAATAATAATAATAATAATAGTTTATTTATATCCCACCCACCTCCCTCCCCAGGGGACTTGGGGCAACTTACAACATAAATAATACAGTAAGTGCAATATAATAAAATACAGAAAATGAAATAAACAACAACACATCAATAGATATAAAACACAAAATACAGTACAATCAAATAACAAAAGTTAACTATGAAATTATGAGCATTAGATTAGACCTCCTCCTACTCTTCCCCTCTACAACAACATCTGTCCTCCCTTTCTCCTTCCATGAGGTCAGTACGATGACCATTACTCTCTGCAACCCATTCCCTCAACTCCCCATTCCACTTCCCCTTCTACTGCTTCACTCCATTTTCCTCTTGTGTTTTTCCTACCCTTCTCCTTAAGAGACTCTGAGAGCAAGGAACAAGACTGCATTCAGGTCTCGGGTTGGGGTTGCAGTGGAAATTAGAGGATTTATGGTCCAATTTGGGGGGGGGGGGCTTCCTGGTTTTAATGTCAATGTGAGCCATGCTCAGCAAACAGAATTCAGAAGTCTAAGTGGATATACCCCATTTCAAAAGGTGAAATGATCATAGGAAAAATAGGTCCCAATAAAGAGACAAGAAAGTACACGAAAAGCTACATTTGTTTAAAAAATGCAGTGGAAAGGAGCTGTCAGGTGTGTTTCCTTTTTGATCGCCATCGGAAATTCATGGGCTCTTTTGAGCCGAGATGGATGTAGTGACTGAACCCCACTTGTGTAGGCACCACTTCTCCTTTCCTTTTCTCCCAAAGGTTTCATTTTCTGGATTTTTCCCCAAACATAGTAATTAAATTGAATTTTAACCTAGGGCCCTTCCACACAGCTCTATATCCCAGAATATCAAGACAGAAAATCTTACTATATCTGCTTTGAACTGGGTTATCTGAGCCCACGCTCAGATAATGTGGGATTTCCTGCCTTGACATTCTGGGATATCGGGCTTTCTGGAAGGGCCCAAAAGAAGTATTTTGTTTTGAAAGGATTTATCAACCTCATTGAATGTTGAACTATGGTAGAAACTGACAAAGAAAGTAAAGAGATTAGAGGGAAAGCTCTCAAAGTAAGGTTGGATTGTATGTTTTTGGTGTCCTGTTAGTTTTCTCAGTGGTCCATAAATAATATTTGCTGCCTCAAACAGGGACCTAGGCTACACTTAAGAGCTGCCAGGTCAACAGCTTTTAATTCCCTATAGATTTCAGAGCCAAACCCTAAGACTAAAAGTTGAATCACATTGATGCCGCAGAAGCAGGGCAGCCAGGTGATAGAAGGAGGACTGAAACTAGTACTGGGTGCACTGTTTGTGGAAAAAGGTACATGAGGGATTCAGTTAAATAGGTCCAGAAACTAGGTAGGTAAAATGGTGTACCAGGGCAAGAGAACTCCAAACGTACATTTTTCTTAGTGGTCCGGCGTCAAAACACATCTAGCAGCTGCATCTGTTGATGCACTGACCTCGTGGAAGTGCAACAGAGAGAAACACATTCACACTGAGCCAGTGAGCCCTGTCACCAGGTGGAAATAGTTATAGATGGAGCTTAGATTTGAAAGCCATACCAGAGGGGAAAAAAATCAAACTGTTTCCTTCTACAGTGCTGCTTTGCCTAGAAATAGCCTGTGTCCTGAGGCCCTGGCAAAGAAAGCTGTCTTCAAGCATGGCACAAATTACTTATCTTCTAATATTCTGTCAAATAATATCTTCACTGTATAGCTATGGGAAAAAATCTAAATGTGGCTTCTTAAAGCTCAGATGTGACTAAAATAGAAAAGCGTGTGGTAGATTTGCACAGACTGTGGAGCAATTAAAACATTTGCTGGAAAACCACATTTAATGCTTGCTTCTCCAAAATGGTTCACATACTGTTATAAAGCATTGACATCTGATATCCATATCTATATCCTGATGAGCTGAGGTGTTTTGCTTCAGTTAGATGCCATCTTAGTTTGTTATCATTTGCTTTGATTTTATTTGACTGTCTTGCTTTCTTTTATCAGAATTCAAAACGATCTTGACATATTAGAGAGATGGCCAAAACTAACAAAATGAAGTTCAACAGTGACAAATGCAAGATACTCCACTTTGGCAGGAAAAACGAAATGCAAAGATACAGAATAGGGGACAATGCCTGGCTCGAGAGCAGTACGTGTGAAAAAGATCTTGGAGTCCTTGTGGACAACAAGTTAAACATGAGCCAACAATGTGATGTGGCAGCAAAAAAAAAGCCAATGGGATTTTGGCTTGCATCAATAGGAGCATAGTGTCTAGATCTAGGGAAGTAATGCTACCCCTCTATTCCGCTTTGGTTAGACCACACCTGGAATATTGTGTCCAATTCTGGGCACCACAATTCAAGAGAGATATTGACAAGCTGGAATGTGTCCAGAGGAGGGCGACTAAAATGATCAAGGGTCTGGAGAACAAGCCCTATGAGGAGCAGCTTAAGGAGCTGGGCATGTTTAGCCTGAAGAAGAGAAGGCAGAGAGGAGACATGATAGCCATGTATAAATATGTGAGAGGGAGTCACAGGGAGGAGGGAGCAAGCTTGTTTTCTGCTTCCCTGGAGACTAGGACGGAACAATGGCTTCAAACTACAAGAAAGGAGATTCCATCTGAACATGAGGAAGAACTTCCTGACTGTGAGAGCCGTTCAGCAGTTGAACTCTCTGCCCCAGAGTGTGGTGGAGGCTCCTTCTTTGGAAGCCTTTAAACAGAGGCTGGATGGCCATCTGTCAGGGATTATTTGAATGCAATCCCTGCTTCTTGGCAGGTGGTTGGACACTCTTCCAACTCTTTGATTCTATGATTCTATGACTTATTGTAAAATCGCATGATATATTTTAAACCATAGGCAATAGGACTATAAGAGACAGTGGACATATGATATGGGGCTGAGGATCAGAAGAAAAATGGAGCTGGGGACAGCAATGGACCATGTTTATAATGTTTTGAACTGGGTGGAATTTATTTATTTCCTATATTTATACCCCACCCTTCTCACCCCCGAGGGGGGACACAGGGCGGCCTCACAAACACCATACGGTGTCTTCATAATAAAACAATCAACAATACATTAAAATATTTAAAATATTAATAATTAAAACAATTGAGTAACATCAGTGTCTAAAATGCGGTCCAGATCAAATCATTGCTGTAAGTGTTAAAATCTTCTGCTCACTAATCAAATGCTTGGTCTCAAAGCCAGGTCTTGATTTTTCTTCTAAAAGACAGGAGGGAGTTGGCTATTCTGATGTCTCTGGGGAGGGCATTCCACAGGCATGGGGCCACTGATGAGAAAAACATGAGAAAGCGGGGACTCTTTGGGACATTTATCAAAATGAACATTTGGTTTAAAAATAAAGATAAAATGAGCTAAGTAGTTTTTGCATCACACTCTTGAGAAGAGAGTGCAAAGTCTGGCATGTCTGATGGGCTCCTGTTCTTTCTCCTTTCCTTTCTTCCGCTTCCGCTTCCCCTTCCCTCCCCTCCCCTCCGTTCCCTTCCCTGCTACCCTCCTTTCCCTTCCCCCTTCCCTTCCTTCCCCTCCCCTCCCCTTTCCTTTTCTTCTTCCTCTTCTCCTCCCTTCACTTCCCTCCCTTTCCCTTCCCCTCCTTTCACCTCCCTTCCCCTCCCTCCTCCTTCCCTTCCCCTCCCTTCCCCTTCCCTTCTCCTTTCCCTCTTCCCTTCCCTTTCCCCTTCCCTTCCCTTCATCTCCTTCCTTCCTTCCTTTCTTTCTCCCCCCCCCCCTCTCTCTCATTTTGACATTGGCATCCAGTGCGGGGTTGTGGGGCAATGTCAGCAAGGAGGGTATTAATTGCATGGGGGATTCTGCTCTTGTGCTGGGAAATCTATTCTTGGTGACTGACTCTTTACATCCCTGTGGATGGAGAGGAAACAAATTAACTTGCTGGCAAGTGTAGTGGATTCTTGTCTCATGCCATTTGCAAAACCTTCTTTACCGCTCAGTATAATCATGCCAGTATTATACTCTTGATCATCTGTGTGGGCTCTTGATCAAATGCATAATTAATTCCTGCCTATTTAGCTTCTACTGAATCTGGTGCAAATGAATCCCGCAGGTTAAATATTATGCACTGTACAGGAAAAGACCTGATGATGGAAAGGGAAATTGGCTGTCACCGACTGTCATCTCTTCAGTGCTACTTTGGTAGGGAATTTAGAACAAGGAGAAAGCGATTTTAGAAAGGGCAAAGCAAACCATAGGTGTGTGAGATAAGCCAATGCTAAAATTAAGGGGGAAAGTTGAGATCCATTAATAAAGTCAACCTGCCATCATCCCTCATTTAAAGCCAGCTGTGGCCTCTGAAGCTCTAGAAAACTACTATGTTAAATGAATACTCTTTAAGTCACAAAATGGTGCCAATTTGGCTCCCCTTTAATTTCAATTTTCAGCTTTCTTTTACACAAAACAGAAGCTAAGTCTTCAATCCCTGGAGCTAGGAGGAAAATCTGCAGATAGTTTATTGGCAACCGCTAGTGTTGATGTATGATGGCATTATCTGTAGTTGATGCAGCAGCAAATCTCCAAATACTTTTGGCAATAAGTCTGGCAGGAATATTGCTTATGTAAATGTAATATTGTACTGGATTCTACTCCCTTCCCACTCCAGTAAACCTTGACCTGAATCATTCTGGATATTCCCAAATAAAGCAGGCCCATCATCTTTCGAGGGTGCTTTGAATATGATTTTCCTGCTTCTTGGCAGTAGATTGGACTGGATGGCCCATGAGGTCTCTTCCAACGGTATGATTCTATGCTGAATGGCAAGTCAGTCCATAGTTAGACCTCACTGGTTCAATGGGTTGATTGTAAAGTAGTTGGGACCAAAATTAGGATCAAGGCCAGTCTTGTTTATGAGAAGTTGCAATATTGTGGGCAGTCATATTGATTTGAAAGGGAATTGGGTTAATGTTTTGTTTTCAGTAGGGGCGATGGTGGACCTGCTTACCTCCGCGATAGGGACCTGCTTATCTCCGTGATCGCATCTTCCCCTATGAACCAGTGCGTACCTTTAGATCATCCGGAGGAGGCACTGCTCTCTCTCCCTCCGCCGTCTCAAACACGGTTGGTGGGGATGAGTGAGAGGGCCTTCTCGGTGGTGCCCCCACCGAGATCAGACAGACTCCTACTTTGTCCTCTTTCTGGAGACAACTAAAAACCTGGATGTTGCAGTGTGCTTTCGAGTAAGCAGTCCACCAGTAATTTTCCCCCTGTCCCTTCTTTAAGTTCAGCACTTTATGTTCAGCCCTCTTATCGTCCACCTCAACACTTTTGATGACACTATTCCCAGCCCTGTCTACTTGATTATTGGACTTTCCTTGCACTCCCTTCAGGATATATTGCTCTCATGGAGTCTGAAACTCAGCTATGTTATTTTCTCAGCCATATTGTTTTGATATTGTTTACAATTGTGATTGTTTTTATATTTTTATGTGATGTTTTTAATTGATTGTGTTCTATTTGTAATATTTGGGCTTGTCCCTTATAAGCTCCTCTGAGTCCCCTTGGGGAGATGGTTGGTGGGATATAAAAATAAAGTAGTTGTTGTTATTATTTTTATTATTATGGTGGACAGCAAACAATCTTGACTTCTCTTGTTAACATCTTGCCTGCAGGGTTGAACATCGGTATGAAGTTCGACAACAAAAGAACCGACTGTCTGCAAAAAAATATGAGCTCCATAGAAGAGATGCCTTTGAAAAGTATTTGAAGGCCAAAATGACACCAGGAGGAGAATATGGCAGGGAGTCTCACTCCACTAAACAGGGACCCTTTGGCAGTGCTTCCAGCACACCTGAGTCATCACGCAGGAGCCCCAATTTTGGCTGGGATGTCTTGCGGTGTAACGCACGCCTGCAGGGATACACCAATCATGCCATGGAAGAAGAGGAGGTCTACCATGTGTGAGCCCAGGAACTCTTACCTCTGCACTCTGAATGGAAATCTCCAGCTGTGTCCTCGTTCTAAGAGAAGAAAACGGACTGTTGCTTGTTTGCACACGCTAATTTAATTAACTATACTGTGTGGGATTTTTTTAAAAGCCTGCAGTTGACACTGAGGTTTATGAAAAGGCTGGAAGACAAGATAAACATGGAGAAACTCAGTCTTTTCACGATGGTACTGAAGATCCTTCTCAGTGCTACTATGGTGGGAACCTCATTTCCGTGTTCTATTGTATTTGTACTACTGCATTTTGGTCTTATTTTCCTATTTGTTGAACTCTTCTCATACCCAGTTTCTTACTTCCTTAAACATAGAATTGATGTCAGTTTGCAGTCTGTTATCTTTGTTTCGTGTTCAAATAATACAATAAATTATTATGTTCCTCTGTTTAAACAGTTGTACTTTCTCCTTTGTTCAAGCAATATTGCGCTAATGTGGAACCTGGAGAAACTTTGTTTCCAACTTCACCTGGATCCATTCTTTATTTTCACTGTCCATCAAGTTTGTGGCCAGAATCCTCCTAAGCCATTTTGTAGAATGCTTGCATCAGGAGGTATAGACGACAAGCCTCCCTCAGCAAGCCATTTCTCCATTTTCCATCCTTGAAACACTACTGGAATTTTTTGGAATGGCCTTTGAAACATTTGAGAACAACTGACAGACACCATATATTGTCTCTTCAGCCATTGGCTCTATCTGTCTAAATACACAAAAACAAAAAAGCTTCACACATTTTTGAATCCAAAGTGCTGTTATAACCTGGTGACATTTTATTGGTACAGTTTAATATTAATGTCTTGTTTAGTGCTTTCAGAGGAAGCACTAAAGGAAGCCCAGTGGCGCAGTGGGTGAAAGCACTGAGCTGCTGAACTTGCTGATTGAAAGGTCACAGGTTCGAATTTGGGGAATGGTGTGAGCTCCCGCTGTTAGCCCCAGCTTCTGCCAACCTAGCTGTTTGAAAACATGCAAATGTGAGTAGATCAATAGGTACTGCTCTGGCGGGAAGGTAACGGCTCTCCATGCAGTCATACTGGCCACATGATCTTGGAGGTGTCTATGGACAATGCCAGCTCTTCGGCTTAAAAATGGAGATGAGCATCAATCCCCAAAATCGGACATGGCAGGACTTAATGTCAGGGGAAAACCTTTCCTTTACCCTAGTACTTTGGGTGCCATGAAAGTCTAACTACCATGCACCTGTAGTAAAAATTGGTTTTGGCAACTGCTGAATGTCAGATTTTTAAGCTCGTCCCATCAAACTAAAGACCCTGAGGTCAGTTGCACTTCTGTCTCTTTACTTTCACTATCTCCTTTAAGAGTTTCTTCTATCATGAGAAGCAAGAGGGACATGAAAACGGCTAGAAAACAAGACCAATACATGAACCTACATTACAAAATGGTAGACTCATCCTTAACTTCTGTCCAGAACATGTGTGCGTGTGTGATGGAGGCGTATCCATGCCTGAAACTGCTACTGAATATTATTTGTTTATTTATTTATTTCAAACATTTGTACCCCGCCCTTCTCAACCCCTTTGTTCAGGCTTTATTTACCCCAAGGAGAATAAATATAGTTGTCCAAGTTGTTGGCCATCACTGCATCTTATTGTGAATTCCTGAGTTTAACTATATGTCCCACATGGATATCTATGTGAATTTATGATATATAAGTAGTGTTTTCCCAATTCCCCTCAAACCTGCTTCTTTGGGAAATTTCATTCTTGCAGGATAAACCTTGCCATTGCTAAAATATGTGTCACATCAGGAAGGTATCCATCCTTTATATGGGTTCCTTTTCATTGGCTTGAATTGAGAGCCCAAATGAGAGAATCATGAATGTTGCTTTAAGTTCTACAGAATCTGTCCTACAGATTCTTGCAGACATTCTTTGTACATACATTTCCATCAGGTTTCTACAACACTATGCAAAGAAATTGAAATAAATATCAAGGATCCTGAGTGAGGCTGCATTAACCAGAAAACACATTCTCAGTAACTGTGCAGCAGACATTCTCCTGAATTATTTATTTTTCCCTGCAAAGAAAATTGGGCAAAAGCAAGATAATCTTACTCCTACTTTTGTTCACACTCACATCTCTGCCAGCCATTGCTTTCCCCAAATTGTTTGATTAAGATGTGTAAGAAATGTACAATAGAGGATTGCCATAGGGATAAGCGGTTAGAAGATGCACAACAACAACATATACGAATATTGAATATTGGTCTCGCAAGAGTGTCCAAATGTTGCTTTAGGCTTTATCTCTTTGCAGCTGCAGTTATAACCCACAGAGCTGTTCTAGACTGCTGAATTTCACCCTATATGTTGTGGAAACTAAAAAGCTGCAAATAATATAGGATTTGGTGACTGTTGTTTGTTTGATTGATTTGATCTGCTATCTTTAGATCCCAGATCTTCACGTGAAAGTAAATGATTATACTTTGGCAAATCAATGTTTATGTGCCCTTAACATTTTCCTGATCTCTGGCTGGATGTTCCATAGTAACTTTGAGTTCTTTATTACACATTTTGGGTGCTTCTGATACACTCTATTTATTATTTAATATTAATGGTTTTGCTTGCAGCAGGTTTTGGGTTGCTCAGTCATGTTTCCAGCTTCAGTGATATTGGCAGGTATTTCCAAACCAAGCAAATAGTAATTCGTCTTTTTCACAACTGGTAGAAACTACAGGGTGTTCACCTTTAGTTACAGCTTTTAGAGTGGTTCAACATACTTTTTTCAATTCTCCAAAACAATAAATAAAAAAATCAGTTCCAGAGTTTGGAAAACTCTATGTGCCATAGAGACTTATAATTCTTAGAAAACTGGGATCTCATGTAAACATTAAACTATAATAGTTGCAGTTTTACAGCCCTGGATTATAGGATTTGCTTTTCAGCTAACTATTATGCTTGTGAGGATATTAAAACATTCTTCATAAAAATTAGTTTGGGAGAAATGGAAATTCCCATGCAGCGAGTTTAATTATTTTCAGTCCATTTCTACGAAATCCAGTTCTATTGGATTTCATAATTATCTCTTCTTTTCTCCAGATTTCACGGAGCCCATAGCTTTTTAGAATACACCTGGCATTGTCCCTGAGCGTAAAACCAACAGCCAGTCTCAATGCCCTGATAAATGTTCCTAGTATGTTTGCAAATTTATTATTATTTTTATTTAAAGCATTTATATTCTGCCCTTCTCACCCGGAAGGAGACTCAGGGTGGAGCACAACATATAAATGGCAAACATTCAATGCTGAAACATACTAGACCATACATATACAAAAACATTAAAATCACTTATCTTGATGTTAAAATCCTCTAGTTAAAACTGTCTCAACAACGTATCAAATTTGGTTGGCATACTAAGAGTTCCTATCGCCACCTCATTACACAGTCCCAAGGCTCGGTATTACAGCCACGTTTTTATCATCCTTCTGAAGGACAAGAGGGAGCGGGCTGACCAGATCTCATTAGGAAGGGAGTTCCATAGCCAAGGGGCAATCACTGAGAAGGCCCTGTCTCTCATTCTTCCTGACTGTGAGAACCATTCAGCAGTGGAACTCTCTGCCTTGGAGTGTGGTGGAGGCTCCTTCTTTGAAAGCTTTTGAACAGAGGCTGGATGGCGATCTGTCAGGGGTGATTTGAATGCAATATTCCTGCTTCTTGGCAGGGGGTTGGACTGGATGGCCCATGAGGTCTCTTCCAACTCTTTGATTCTATGATTCCTGCCAAAGGTGCCTGTGATGGTGGTGGGACCGAGAGCAGGGCCTCCACAGAAGATCTTAATCTCTGCGGTGGTTCATAGGGGGAGATGCATTTGGACAGGTAAATTGGGCATGGGTTCAATAAATTCACAGGTGCAATTTAACATAAGATACTCAAAAACCATGGAGCCATTCCATGAGAGCAGACATCTTCCATCAAATCAGATGGATGATCAGGAAGATCTTTTGTCTAGTAAAAAGATGTCAGAAACCAAAGCTAGGAAAGACAAAGGGGCTCTAGTGATCTTGCAGAACTATTTCAACATCCATTGCTCATGTCTAGGTTGTGTTCCAGGGAGGACTAGAGAGCACTTTCTCCCTCAGGCCTTGTCAAACTATTGCTAGGCACGTATTATATTGTACTGTACTAGATCAAGGCAAGCTTTGGGAGAACCAATGCACTTTTGGGAATTTTGAAAAACATAACTGGATGCTCTCTAAACAGCTATTTCACAAAGAAACAAATCAGTGTGGCCAACAGAAAAGCAGCTTGCATAAGAAACTGAATACAACTCAAACATAGGATGCTAACCTTCCACATACTAGCACACACACACAATTCTTCCTTTGTCTCTCATCCCTGCCACTGTCCCAACACTTGATATCCTCCTAGTAATCAATTGACTCCTTTCAGGATCATCTCCTGGCACCCTTCTGTCTCCTCCTTCTCCCTCAACTCCCTATTCCACCTCCTCCTCATCTACTTCTTCATTCAAACTTATCTTATGTTTTTCCTACTCTTCTCTTCAGGGCCTCTGAGAGCAAGATGAAACAAGACTGAATTCAGGCCCTGAGTTGGGAGAGTCCTCTCAAAATAGGAAATTTATGGTCCAGATTCAGAGAGTGGGGACTTCTTGATGTCAATGTGAGCTATGATCAGCAAGCAGAAACCAGAAGTCTAAGTGGGTACACACTATTTCACAGAGTGAAATCATCCATTGATCTCTTAGGAAAAACAGGCAGATCCAAAAAAGAGCCAAGAAAATACATGAAGTGATACATGCTTCTTAATCTTAAAAAAAAATTGCAATGAAAGTGGAATGTATCCATTTGTTTATTTTTCTTGTTGTTGTTGTTGAGACATTAGACATTCTTGACTCTCTAAGCTTCTGATGAATATACCAACTGAACCCCCCTTGTGGGACAAGCATTTGATCATTGAATAGTGGCAAGTGAGAAGAAGACATAAGCAATTTGAAGTGACAATGAACTGACCCGGACTTTGGTTTTAACTGGCATGTTTTTAACAACTGTTTATTTTTGTTGACTGTTTTTATGATTGCGATGGCACCGAATGGTGCTTGCTGTGAGGCCACCCTGAATCCCCCCTCGGGGGTGAGAAGGGCAGGGTTCACATGTATGAAATAAATAATAATAAATAATTGTATGTCCAATTTCTCTTTTATCTCACTGCCAACCCCAAGTTTTACACATTTTAAGCAATGATGTTACGGTGTCTGCCTGTCTCCCTCTTTAACAGGAGCATTTGCTTGAATGAGCAAAGAGCTACAAACTGCACCATCATTATTTCCCTGAGATGCACTCTATGGAAATTTTGAGTTGTTACTTGGTGATTAGCTCTCCTGTGAATTAAAAAGAAATTAAATGC